ACAAATACACCACGGACTGGGAAGGTAATTCCAAACAGTTTCGAAAAGGTTTTAAGCCAGAGGGGAATAAAAAGGAAATTGGTTGTGTTGAAGAGGTGTGATTAAGGATTTTTTTTCCCATAAATTTCCATCTCATGTAATTTTTTTCTTCTGTTTGTTTTGGTCTCTCACAAATTATAAGTTTTCTCACCCGTACGGGATCCCTGACTCCCCATCTACCAGCTAGAGGGAGACAAATGGCACAGCCTGCCACGCGGTGGTTCCCACAGGTGGGTTGTGAGCTGCTTCATCGAGGGGCATCTAAATGTCCGTTTCTATAAGTCTTTCCCTGTTTTGGGTTCATTTTCTCCAGAAGAGTATCCGCTCGTCTTCTGGCAGGAAAGAAAGTGGGGTGGGTAAAACCCCAGTGCCAGCATTCCAGAAGCCAAGTCAAGATGCCTCACTCTTCCATTTTGTAGCCTTTTCTCTTAACCCTATTCTCGGTACACCACTGCCTCCACTGTGCCCAAGAGCTCACTAAGGGAGGCCCCATTGGTCCAGCCTCTACAGAGAGCAGATTTTAGTACTAAACTGGGAAAGGGGCAGTCCCATGACTGTACATGACAGGGGAGATATCTTTCCATCAATCCCCCTGGTTGTCTGCCTTCAGAGACACCTGGCACTTCCAATTCCTAAGCATCTCCAGGATTCTGCAGCAAGAACTGGCTTTTCTCTGAAGTTCTCCAACCCTGAAGGCATTTAGCTCCCAGCTTTCACTGGTCAGTTTAATTCAGCATTACTCAGTTTTCCAACTTGCGAAATGTTACTACTATTGTGGAGACTTCCCTGGCGGTCCAGTGGTTCAGACTTTGCCTTCCAACACAGGGGGTGTGGGTTTGATCCCTGATTGGGGAGCTAAGATCCCACATGCCTCACGGCCAAAAGAACAAAACACAAAACAGAAGCAGTATTGTAACAAATTCAATAGACTTAAAAAAAAAACATTGTGTCCCCCTCTCTTTCTCTTTAAACTAATAAATTCATAACTTATTAAAAATCCCTTTACTGATCTTTCATCGGGGTTTCAGGAGAAAGCAAAGATGATCATGTATGTTTAATCTACTATGCTTGAGAGCAAGTCCTACAAAATCAATGATTTTTAAAAATAAATATATATTGAACTATTAACGTAGTCAAGCAAGCCTTTTATCTGGACTTGACAAGTGCCTAGTCTCTTTTTTTTTCTTTTTGCAGTACGCGAGCCTCTCACTGTTGTGGCCTCTCCCGTTGCGGAGCACAGGCTCCAGACGCGCAGGCTCAGCGGCCATGGCTCACGGGCCCAGCCGCTCCGCGGCGTGTGGGATCTTCCCGGACTGGGGCACGAACCCGCGTCCCCTGCACCGGCAGGCAGACTCTCAACCACTGCGCCACCAGGGAAGCCCGTGCCTAGCCTCTTTCTACTCAGCACAAAGCTGTGCTAACTGGTTCCCAAGCTCCTCAGCCCCACACGTCTTGCTCCGCCCAGCTCTCGGCAGGTGCCCTTCCTCCTCCCCCTCCTCCTCACCTGCCCCTCCTGGGACAAGGGGGCACGTTCTTCCAGAGCAAATCTGTGTTCCCTCTCTGTGCTCCAGATCCTAGTGCCTCTTACTTCCCTGGACCTTTTTACTGCTTCTCGCCCATCTTTTTTTTCTTTTATCTTCAGTCTCTCAATCTCCTAAGGTATCTTCCCTCATTTAAAAAATTAAAAATATCTGTAAAGAAACTATAACTGGCAGCAGTATTGTGGAGCAGTTACTCCAAAGGGCCCTCCTGTACAAAACAACAAGTTCTTGGTTAAAATACACTCTTTAGTGCACTGATGGGCTTCCACAAAGTAAAGGAAATCTACAAGGACCCCAGCACCATAACCAAAAAGAACCACCGCTACAAGCAAACAAACCATGGCTTGAATCCAGAGTAAAACACTGAACAATAAGCAAACTCTAAGGGTAGGGTGTCCCTGAGGATGAAGCCAGCTACTGGGAGACTAAGTCTTCAGACTTGCCACTGGGAAGCTGAACCTGAGAGCCACATCAAGCCAAGAACTGCTGAAGGAGACTGAAGTGGCCTAGGGCGCAGCCCCTGGATCCCTTTAGAAGCAAATGCAAATCCTACCCTTATTTGGGGCCTCAGGTTAAGATCAAACAAATAAAAGCTCACAGTCAGCACCATCAAAGACATAAGGAAACAAGCTACCATAAGTGTCTGCAGAAGCCAGCAACAGATTTAGGCCCCTAAGGACTTAAAAGATTGGCTTTATGCATAAAAAATGTAAAATAAATATCAGTTATTATATCAGCAAAAATAGGACATAATACCAAGATAGAGGAAAGGAAAACTTGCATTGAAGGCAAAGGGAATGCAAACAATTTTGTAGTACTTCACAGTTTTGCCTAGGGCTGGCTTTGTCCCCTCGACTATTCTCGAAGGCATGGAATAGTGGAAAGAGCTATGTTTGCATAACGATACAAATTCTCTCTAGCAAACAATCTACTACCACATCATACATAGCCTACAGGAAAATGTTCAAATATGAAATCCTCACAAATTTCAATTACAAACTGAGAGCAGACTAAGAGTCATACTACCCTCGTAAAGATGGCTTCACTGAATATGGCAGCAATATCTGTCTGATCATGGCAGTATTACAGTGAGTTGGGATAAACAAAAAATTCAGTATGCTGTAGTAACCCAACAATCCTAAAATGCCTTGGTTGATTTGCTCAATTGTTTGCAGATGGCCCTCTACTTTTGTCAATTCAACCTTCAAACAACCCTTACCACTGTATCTTACCTATCCCTGAACAGTCTTTTACACACCTAAGTCAGATATTCATATACTGGCTAACAAATGGATGTTTTCAGAGTGAGGTTCCATTTTTTACCATTCTACAGTATCTGTGCAATCATTTAATTTTATCACACTTTTACAAACTGTAAAAAGACGTTGACAGAAAATATAAAAAAGGACTTATACTAGTGATAAGAAGTAGAAATCTCAAACTAACAACCTAAGGCTACGATGAAAATAATTACACATGCCAAAAACAGCAGTCTTTAACCTTAAGGAGATGTTCACTGGACTTAAGCTGGTGGACAAACAGCAGCTCAGCTGCAAATGAAAAGAACAAAAGAGCATGTATAAAATCCTGAATTGCCAACCGGATAAAGGAACAGGACAGTCTGTCAGCACACAAAATCACCAATTACCAAATCTCACAGGCAGCTCTTTCAGTGAGACGACCATCTTGATAAAGTGGCCATGGTTGAAGAGTGTCGTTTTTGTCCTGCCTCTACATGAGGCTACCTGGGATGTACAACAAAACCATGCTTCTCAAGCCTGGATGTGAGCGGGGAGTGCAGGTACAGAGAGGGTACTGTGGCAAGACGTTTGGCCCCCAAATAAGCACAGTGTATCTCTCAAGTGCATCAATTTGCTCAACGGTAAGTAATGGAAAAAAATGATTTTATATTAAAATAAAAAAGATATTGTGTTAAATAAAGCACAATATTTGCTTAATTTTTGTGACATAATGCAAAACAAAGTATTGGGTTTGCAGATGCTGGTTGGACTATGCTCTCAGGCCCAACGGGGATAAACGTTCACTCCATTCTTGCTGACAGAACTTCCTGGAAAGGAATGCAACTCACTAAACAGAACTGTGTTTTGGCACTACTGGTACCACAAAAACAAAGGCTAGCATTAACAAAACTAACACATACAAGATACAGTCCTGATTAAAAGCTCTAACCATTTAAACATCAGTATATATTTAACAAATATAGAAGGCTGATTATCAAGGTAGTAAATTAAACATATTCAATGTATAAAGCTCTAGGTGGGCGAGAAAGCCTGATGAAGGCAGAGGTGTGTTTTGAAAAATGAACCCAGGAAACTCAGAAGCAACAGTGCCTTTGCCTTGAGGAAGAGAGAAGCAATGGGGAAGGGTAGGTGCAAAACCGCATTCCCCGTATTTGAATTGTTAATAATCCCATTACGCCCTTTTATTTTCCAAGTTGTAACTTTTAATGCTAAGAAATGAAACACCAGCAGTTGATCTTGAAAACTATAGGCTCTCCTAACTACTGGGGAAAAAAAAAATTTCGGCAATATCAGGAGAAAAAAGTAAACTTTTCCTGTATCTTCAGAAAAAGACAATATACTTTGGCATCATAAAACTATACTTAAAAACATTATTTCTGATCAAACAGTCCCAGAGATACCCAGACTCAGAGACTGTTATGTCCTATGAAAGTAACCTTTAACATTTATAAAATCTGTAATTCTGATTGGTTGTCTCCCTTAATAATGTGTTGGCCTAGTAATGGTATTTAAATTGACATTTGTTTCCTGAAAGGAATATTTGTGATTTTTATTTTTATTTCCCATATACATAGAAGTCAAAATAAAGAAAAGTCTCAATCTTACCGGCACCCTTATTTAAAAAAAGAGAAAAAAGAAAAAATTATAAGTGTCTCGGCTCATTTTTTTTTTTTGTGTGTGGTACGCGGGCCTCTCACTGTCGTGGCCTCTCCCGTTGTGGAGCACAGGCTCCAGACGCGCAGGCTCAGCGGCCATGGCTCACGGGCCCAGCTGCTCCGCGGCATGTGGGATCTTCCCGGACCGGGGCACGAACCCGTGTCCCCTGCATTGGCAGGTGGACTCTCAACCACTGCGCCACCAGGGAAGCCCTCGGCTCATTTAAATTAATATAGGGGAAGAAAGAGTGATGGTGTCAGGTCACTTAAAAATGAAAATTGGGACTTCCTTGGTGGTCCACCGGTTAAGACTCCATGCTTCCACTGCCGGGTTCACGGGTTCGATCCATCGTCGGGGAACTAAGATCCCACGTGCCACGTGGCACGGCCAAAAAAAATTATGAGGAAAAGTAGAATTTTCAAAATTATACTTCTAATTCTTCAAATTCTATCCTTATATGTTACACACGTTATCCCAGAACATCTTCAAAGGCAATACTTACTGTAACTGCCAGGAGATTTTTCTTCATAAGTAAAATGAAGTTGTAACTCTTCCTCTGACATCTCATAAATGAACACTTTCAGCAAACAGCAAATAATAAACAAAGCATTGTGTGTCTGCCAAATGAAGATGTGGCTAGAAAGGAAAGAGCAAAATTACACAAGAATCAGTATTTAATCATGAGCACAATCACTTTATTCTAGTCCACTGATTTCTCAATCATGTTGCCCATTTTGTTTGTAACATTAGAACAATGTCCATACCTTTTTTTTATGGCTCATGATTTATGACACTGGACCAACGATATCTACTATAATTTACCTCATATTTCATTCTGTGTATTTTACATAGTGAGTCAACTTTAAAATTTTTTTCCTTTAGGCATGACTGCTCTTTGTTCTTAACTTTATAGCTGCCCCATACACAGGCAATTCAAAGAAAAGAAAACTAAAAATAGAAAACATAAAAACTATAGTAACATAAAGAGAATATATGCAAATACACAACCAAAAAAAAAATTTTTTTTTTTTTTGGCTGCGTCCTGCAGCATGTGGGATCTTAATTCCCGGACCAGAGATTGAACCCATGCCCCCTGCAGTGGAAGCTCGGAGTCTTACCCACTGGATCGCCAGGGAAGTCCCCACAATCAAAATTTTAAATGGGGCATCACCAGCTGCACAGTACAATACCTGCTATTTGTATTAATAATCATGGACTCACAACAATTTTAATTGGATTCAATATAAATTATTTGGAAACAGGGCAATGAGCAATCTTTTAAGAGACTACCCTCCAAAAATGGTTTCAAAAAATGCTCGGGTGGATAAAAGGTGAATCTTCCACTATATAAATATAAAACCATAATATCTAATCTGAACCTTCGTTCACCTAATATGAAAGAAATAAAGGAAACAAATGTGGAATGAAATAATACACTAAGTCATTACAGTAAGTCCCCTACATACAAACGAATTCCATTCTGACTGCATGTTCATAAGTCCAATTTGTTTGTAAGTCCAACCAAAGCTAGGCTAGGTACCCAACTAACAAACTCGGCTAAATAGTACTGTACTGTAATAGGTTTATAATACTTTTCACACGCCTTGCTCCACTCTCAAAATTGTTTTCACTTTTGTTTCCATCGTTATCACTTGGCACTTCTTAGCAGTACCAGCTACATCACCGCTGCTTTTACGCTTGCTTCCAGACATCCTGGGCTTGAAATAAAGATACTGTACTACGGTACTCTATACAGTACTGTAAAGTACACAAAAGCACGACCACTTGTAGAGCATGCACACATGTGACAATGTACGCCAGATACGTGAACTAACTTACGTGATTGGACATGCAAACACACTTTCGCATCTTCGAAAGTTTGCAATTTAAAGGTTCGTATGTAGGGGACTTACTGTATTTAAATTAGATACAACCAGCAGTGGAAATGGGAGAAAATTACCTTTTTTTAATAATAATTATACAATTAATCTTCTTAAAGAATATATTTCTAAAGACTGTCTAAAATGCTGAAATCAGATTCCAAAATTTATAATCTCACTACAATGACCTGGACAGTAAATTAAAACCTCTTTTACTTTTTGCCTTAATAATGAGAACAATTCCAAGACCATACCTTATTTCTACCAATAAAATGAAAAATCATACTGTTAAATATAAATTAAATATAGAGAGAGTGTGATTTAATCATCCAGCTTACTTCTGACATTCTGCTGAAAGTTTTAGTTCTTTGGTTCTAGACAGGAAGACCTTAATTAGTGCACCAAGGTTTCCTGTTCGAGGATTGTTTTCAACTGCAAGAGAAGAAAAGGTTTTTAAAAGTTAAAGTTAAGAACCGAAATCAAAATGAGCATATCATAACATTTATAAAGCCAAATGTCAGATTGAAGTTGTTCAGGGATGAACCTTATTGTCAATTTCAAATCTAATTGGGGAAATTAGCAAAGAGAGAGATTGCTGCTTGGTCTTAATTCTAAACAACGAAAAATGATTTACAAATGGAAATAATAGAAACTGTAGGAGAAAACAGCCACCTCATCTCAGAATCCAAAACTGTAAAGAAAAGATATACAGAGGAATAAGTACACCATTACAGCCCACCTGCTTAGCGCTCAGTAACTGTCCAATTAACCCAGGTCTATCTGCTGGGTATGTGTTCTTGTCACAGCTTGAGAGTAGATGCAAGTAACTGTATAATCTTCTCATTGTGATAAAATGTATAGCACCTTGCTAATCCAAGTGTGGTTCAGCAGCAATAGCATTACCTGGGAGCTTGCTGGAAGTACAGAATCCCACGGCCACCCTACACTACTGAAGTTGACAGCGCTTCTCAACGTTTAATGTGCATTTAAATCACTTGGCATTCTCATTAAAGTTTAAATTCTGATTCTGCATGTGTGAAGTGAGTCCTGAGATTCTGCAGCTGTGACAGTCTCCCAGGTGATGCCCATTGCTGCTGGGTGGAGAGCCCCACTGTGGGTAGCAAGGGGCAACCTGTGTTTTAAGTTAGGGCAGGTTTTTGTCCAGATTCCATAATTCAGAATAGACACGTGATTAGATATTGTTAGAGTTTCACTCTGAATCAAAAATTGCCTACTTTTAAGCTTCGGGTTTAGCTTAATGAAAGACTATCCTGAGATTTCAAGACAAACGGATTTTTTAAAAACCAGTTAATGTAGGGGACTTCCCTGGTGGTCCAGTGGTAAAGAATCCTCCTTCCAATGCAGGGGACATGGATTCAACCCCAGGTCAGGGAACTAAGATCCAACATGCCGTGGGGCAACCATGCCCACGTGCCACAACTAGAGAGAGAAAACCCGCAGGCCACAACTAGAGAGAAGCCCGCACACTGCAACGACAGATCCCGCATGCCTCAACAAAGGTCCCATGTGCCACAACTAAGACGCGACACAGCCAAAAAAAAAAAACCAAACTAAACAAAAAAAAACCCAGTTAATGTGTGCAAGTGTGTCTCCGTATGAATTAATATTTCATAGCTATTGTAAATCAAAACAAAATACTGAAACAAAATGCTGAGGCTGACAGGACTTCAACCATACTTCCGAATCTCAACTTCACAATCTTGTGTTCATTCAACAGCCCCTCATTATTGAATGGCTTTATAAGTAATCATTTGAATTTTATGGTTAGCCATTAAAATAACAAACAAAAAACGCTGTGTTGTTAGAAAGAACAACCAAGACCACTAGACTGATGTAATTAAAGTTTTGTGTACCCTTTTCATTCAGCATGTCTTCATGGAGCTACTTACGTGTGCCCAGCACTGTGTCAGGTACTAAGAAGATACTTACAAACGGAACTCCCTCTCTTAATGTGGATGACATTCTAAGTTTCCAAAGTACTCTTTTGGACAAGATGTAGATGGGGTAATAAATTTATAAAATTAAGTACACTTAATGATGTTTCAAAAACAATACTCAATGGTAGACTCAATATTCCAAAATACCTCAGTGGAATTTAACAGGATCAAACTTAATTGGCAAAAATCAAACGCTACATTGAAGTTGAAGGCACTTCAGGACCAGAGTAGGAACAGGAGATGTCTGACAGGAAGGCAGAAAAGCACGTGGAACTGGACTACAGAACGTGACTACGTTCAAAGTCCAGCTCCAGCACTGACTAGCTGTGTGACACCTGGCAACTTACTTAACCTCCCCATGCCTCAGTTTCTTCATCTGTAAAAATTCAAGTAATGATAATACTTCAGTAATGGAAAACTAACTCATTTAACTCTAGAGCTTGAACTTGCAGCAATCTGTTAACTGAACTGGCTTTGTGAAAAAGGAATTCTCCATCTCCACAGGAGTTCAAGCAAATTCCAGGTAATGCTCAGACAAGGGTATTATAAAGAGGATATCCACCTGGGGTGAGAGGTTGACCTTGCTTCCAGCCCCTGAAACAACCTTTCCCAGTATCTCACTAAAATACCCACGATCTCCAAGATCCAATAACCAACATACCATAAATATAAAAGACAGAGACATGCTAACAATCCATAAGGATGCAATCGACAAAATCTACATTGTGGGAAACTCTACTACCCACTTTCTTCAATAAGAAAATTGAGAGGGGAAAAAAGACAAGACAAATTCAGGAGGAACCTAGCTCTGAAAAGAATGTAAAGACATATTAACCAATAATAATGTATGGACCTTATTTGGCTCCTGATTCAAACAAACTGAGACAATTAGAAATTTGAACAGTCAGTGGATGTTTTGTGATATTAAAAATTGTTTTTAGTAGATAATGGTATTTTTCCATTAAAAAATTGTTATTATGAGATATGTATCACAATATCTATGAATGAAATAATATAATGCCTGAGGTTTATGTCAAATTACTTATGTAAGGATACGCTTTTTGTTTTGTATACACTTTCTACTTGTGCACTTTTCTGTACATATCCATATTTCAATAAATAGGTGAGAGATACAGATGAAACAAGACTGGCCATGAGTTGAAAATGATTGAAACTGGGAGATGAGCATACAGGAGGTCATTATATTATTCTGTCTGCCTCTGTATGAGTGGGAAATTTTTTAAAGAATTAAAAATAAAATACCCATGAAAAAATACAAAAAGATACAAGCTCATGAAAAGGCTGAGTAAGGATAGTCCTTTTCCCCTAAAAACAGGAAACACTTTAACTAACTACAAATTTTATAGAACTGGACTGGTAATCAATGGATCATTCGCAAGCCTAACTGCCTGAAAGTACTTTTGTCTACTCCAACCAGAAAACTTACGTTAATCATCCTACCCAATACCTTGCTATACAGATTCAGAGGCGACAAGTCCCAGAAAAAAACTTGTAAGAATTAAACAAGCCAAACAAAGAGCAAACCTCATCTCCTCACATAAAACAACTGACCTGGCTCTCATAGCACTATTCTAGCAGGTAAAAACTAGGAAAAAGTGGGGGAAATGCACTTAAAATTCACTGTGAGATATTTAATAAGAAATCTGTTTGGACCCAGAGAACCCCATGTGCAGATTCATAGAAAAAAGTAATAAAGATAATATAAAAAGCCCAACAAAAATAATGGCCACAAACATCCCCAAAATGATGAAAAACATCAATCTACGTATCCAAGAACATCAACAAACCCCAAGCAGAATAAAGAATAAATTTTAAAATTTTGTAAAGGCAAGGACAAAATCTTGACAGCAGTAACAAAAAAATGACTTATCAGAAGGCAACAGAATGATATAGTCAAAGGGATATGAGAAAATAAATGCCAACCAAGAATTCTGTATCCAGAAAAACTCTCCTTCAAAATGAAGGCAACAGCAGGGCAGGGGCACAACTTTACAGTGGAGAAAATGGACAAAAACAACCCTGGCCACATAATCAAGGTCAACATCATCAGTGAAACTCATGTTAATAGCATGTATTCCTGATATGATGTGTTGAGAACAGCATGTCACCTCTGTGATCTTCCACCTACAAACCCATAACCCCCACCTAGCCATGAGAATAACATCAAACGAACTGAGGGACATTCTAGAAATACTCTACCAGTATTCCTCAAAACTCTTAAAGTCATTAAAATTGAGGAAAATCTGAGACAAGAGGAGGTTAAGGAGACTTAATGACTAAACGTAATGTAGTATCCTGGAACAGAAAAAACTCCAAGAGGACATTTGGGAAAACTAGTGAAATCTGAATAAAGGGTCAAGTTTAGTTAATAGTAATGTACCACTGTTGATTCCTTACTGTAACAAATGTACCATATTAATGTAAGATGTTGACAACAGAGGAAACTGAAGAGGGTTATATGGTAACTCTCTACATAGCTTTGCAACTTTTCTATAAATCTAAACCTATTCTAAAATTAAAATTTTATTTTAAAAATCTCAATAGATGTGTTTACCAGAAAAAAGATTAGTAAACTAAAGACATTAATAAAAAAAATATCCTACAGAAGGTCAGAGAGAAAGTAAAAAAGAAAATAAAATACAAAAAAAAAAAAAAAAAAGAGAGAGAGAGCCTAACAAGCCTATGCAACACAATGAAAATGTTAACACAAATATAACAGAGACCCTAGAAGGAGAGGAGAGACAGAATAGGACAGTAACAATGTATAAATCGATAATGGCTGAGAATTTTCCAAAACAGATGAAAGATATCAACCCACAGATTTAACAAGCTCTACAAACCTCAAGCAGGGAGGGAGGGAGGAAGGAGAGAAAAAAGGAAGGAAGGAGAGAAGGAAGGAAAAATACTCCTCAGCATATTCTAAGATGTTGAAAACCAAAGGACAAAAAAGAAAAACTTAGGGCTTCCCTGGTGGCGCAGTGGTTGAGAATCTGCCTGCTAATGCAGGGGACACGGGTTCGAGTCCTGGTCTGGGAAGATCCCACATGCCGCGGAGCGGCTGGGCCCGTGAGCCACAACTACTGAGCCTGCGCATCTGGAGCCTGTGCTCCACAACAGGAGAGGCCGCGATAGTGAGAGGCCCACGCACCGCAATGAAGAGTGGCCCCCACTTGCCACAACTAGAGAAAGCCCTTGCACAGAAACGAAGACCCAACACAGCAAAAATAAATAAATAAATAAATAAACTCCTACCCCCAACATCTTCTTTAAAAAAAAAAGAAAAAATTAAAAGCATCCAGAAGAAAAAAATTCCATTGTTTTCAAAGGAACAACACAATTCCATTGTTTTCAAAGGAACAACAGCTTTTTTTTTTTGACAGTTTTAATCTTAACAAAAATGAGAGTAACCAGAAAAATAACAAAATGGTATATTTAAAGTATGGAAAGAAATTAATGCCAACCTAGAATTTTACACCCAGCAAATATATCCTCCACAAGCAAAGGAAAAATGAAAACATTTTCAGACCCAAAAAAGAAAAAAAAGAGAGAATAGCTACATACCCACATAGCCCTTAAAATTGATTTACATTTATATCTATTAACGTGGAAAGAAGTTCCTGAATACTGCTAAATGAAAACATAGAAATAATACCACTTACATAAAATTGTGCATATAAGTCAATATACACAGAATTACTGATAAAATTTTGGTCTTATCACAAAAGACTAGCAATGATTTCCTGCACTGTTTAATATGGGAAGACTTTAATTTTAACTATACCACTATATTGTTAGAATTTGGGGAATTAAATGTGTGTGTGTGTGTGTGTGTATATATATATATATATATATATATATATTTGCTATTCTCCAAAGTAGTTTTAAATATAGAATGACACACTTAGATACATAATATCAAGTGAAAAACACAGATTAAAATAATTGAGTATGTGTATTTAATATGCATGTAAATGTATATCCAAAGAATAAATAACAGAAGGCAAAATATTACCAATAGCTATGTCAGGGTTGTGGAATATGAGCAATTACTGCCTTTTTTACATTTTAGTATGCTTTCCACATTGTATTAATAAGTAACTATTACTCCCAATTTTAAAATGTTATTTAAAAAAAAAAAAAAATGTTATTTTTGTAAAACCCCAAGGTCACATTAAAAACCATCATCATAATAACTGCATTAATATCACTGTTACATAAAATTAATTTTCAGCAAACTGTCATATAGGTTTTTGATAGTCAGCTCTGTTTAGCGCAAAATCCTCAAATCTATGGTTATAACTGCAGACAAAATTCAAGGCAACTATTGTAATACCACCTCTATCATTACCAACATAATTTGTTTTTAAAAGCAAAAATATTTCATCAAAGACTGTTTTTGGCAGAGTAACTTATATGGGAGTTAGCCACATAGTTTACATGGAGCACATCCATAAGCTTGATTTAAAAACAAGCTCGTCATCACTTATTAAGCTCCTGTCCACCAGTCGTTTCACAGATACGTTATCTCTAATTTTCAAAGCAACAATGAAATGTAAGTATAACCATTCACATTTTTTAAAGCATACATTTCTTTCCAATTGCTACCAATTTGAAAGCAAAGTATTTGAGAAATGAGGTCCAAAAAAAGGTAACATTTGTTGACATAAATAATGAATAATGACGAGATGCTAGGCACTATACTGGATGTTTCGTATGTTATCTGACTTCTTCCCATGAGAATCCTGCAATTTAGATGAGGAAATTAAAGCTCAGCTAGTAATAACAGAGCTATAATTAAGACCATAAAATAATTCCAGAGCCCATGCACTTTACCATAATATCAAGTTGTTATTACTAATTTGAGAAGATTCCTAATATATTTTCCTATTAATGAGTGATAATTATTCTAGTTAACACAGCCAGCAACAGCATATTTAGTACGTGCAGTTGGCAAAGCAAAGGATGAATGATCCATATTCTCTAGGAACTATACATGCAACTACAAAACAAAGAATATTTTGGGTTTTTCTCAGTATTTCAAAATTTGTAAAAAGAATAAGCTCTACGGCTTAGTGGAGCCCATTACCACTACTGCAAATAAACCAAGCATGTGTCTCATTGCTGTTAACTGAATGAGAACCTCTAGAGGCATCAATAAGCACCAAGAATATAATTATTAGTACAATTATAATTATCATCATCAACAAAAATATATCACTTCATTAATTCAATTCACATTGTACCAGCAAAATCTGTAACAGAAATTTTGAAATAACTGTCTCCACACACATACATATATATACACATTACACACACACACACAAACACACACACACACATACACACACACACATTCATTTTTCCTCCTTACCTAAAGACCTGCAGACTGAAATGGTTGCCTCCTCCAAGAGCTTCAACTCGGTACTGGAAAATGAGAAAAAAGGTAATTAATAACTATAACATTAACTATGTACATACTAACCAGTTAAAGGAATACATAAAAAGAAAGACAATTTAGAAGGAAAATAAGGTGTACAGTGGTAAACAATAATATCAGCTAAATAAAGCTTCTATTCTCAATGTAATTAGAAAATTTACTATAATTCTCAACATGAGACTCCTAAAGAAAAGCACTTGGGGCGCCTTGCCTTTTAGGTATTGAGGCAGGGAGGAGAGGTGGGGCTGATGGGACTTAGAAAAATTCGAGAAAGGTTTCTCAAACACAGAGCACAAGGCAGGGGCCTCATGTGCCCATTTCCAAGGAAGTACTGATCACAGGATTATAGTTATTTAGAAAAATGCCATTATTTTTCTATAATACTTTCAAATAGTTCAACAACAACAAAAAAGAAACAAGGCAAGAAAAGAGAGAAAACACAGACATAAGCTTCAATAATTTATAAATATACAGAAAAACAGAAGCCAATGCAAATTGACACAGAGATAGTAGAGAAAGACATAAAACTCTTAGATTTAAAAACTGGGGAAGCTACAGGACAGTGGATCCAGCAGTAATTTCTTACATATGACACCAAAAACACAGGCATCAAAAGAAAACATAAATAAATTGGACTTAACCAAAATTAAAAACTTTTGCACATCAAGGGATACTACCAAGAGAGTGAAAAGTCAACCCAACAGAATGGGAGAAAATGTTTGCAAATCACATACCTGATAAGGCACTAATATCCAGGATATATTTTTTTAAAACTCTGATTCAACAGCAACAAAAAACCCCAAACAACCCAGTTTAAAAATCTGCAAAGGATTCAGATAGACATTTCTCCAAAGACATAAAAACGGCCAACAGGTATATGAAAAGATGTTCAACATCACTAGTCATTAGGGAAATGTGAATTAAAACCACAGTGAATACTACTTCACACCATTAGGATGGTATTATTAAAAAAAAAGAACGGGAGGGGACGGGAGAGGAGGGGAGGGAAGGGAAAAGGAAAAAAAGTGTTGGAGGGGATGTAGAGAAACTGGGACCCTCGTGCATTGCTGATGGGTGTGTAAAATGGAGCAAGTGCTATGAGAAACAGTATGGCAACTTCTCAAAATATCAAAAAGAGAATTATCATATGATCCAGCAATTCCACTTCTGGGTATACATATACCCAAAAGGACTGATATTTGTACACCCACATTCACGGCAGCATTACTCGCAATAGCCAAAAGGTGGAAGCAACCAGTGTCCATCAACAGATGAATGATGGCACAAAATGTGGTACATACATACAATGGAATATTACTCAGCCTTAAAAAGGAAAAGTTCTGACACACGCTACAACGTGGATGAACCTTGAAGACATTATGCTAAGTGAAATAAGCCAGTTGCAAAAAGACAAATACTGTATGAGTCCACGTCAAATCCATAGAGACAAAGTAGAATGGTGGTTGCTATTGGTGCGGTTGGGAACAGGGAGGTGGGGGGATGTGGCAGGGATAGCAAGTTAGTATTTGATGAGTATGGAGTTTCAGTTGGGGAAGATGAAAAAGTTCTGGAGATGGACGATGGAGATAGTTAAACAGCAATGTGAATGTAGGACTTCCCTGGTGGCGCAGTGCTTAAGAATTCACCTGCCAATGCAGGGGACACGGGTTCGAGCCCTGGTCCGGGAAGATCCCACATGCCGTGGAGCAACTAAGCCCGTGCCCCACAACTACTGAAGCCCGCACACCTAGAGCCTGTGCTCTGCAACAAGAGAAGCCACTGCAATGATAAGCCCGCGCACCGCAATGAAGAGTGGCCCCCGCTCGCCCCAACTAGAGAAAAGACCACGTGCAGCAGCGAAGACCCAACACAGCCAAAAATAAATTAATTAATTAATTAAAAAAAAAACAATGTGAATGTATTTACTTAATACTACAGAAGTAAACACTTAGAAATGGCTAAAATGATAAATCTTATGTTGTGTGCGTTTTGCCACAATTTAGAGAAAAAAGTGCATTCCAATTCCAATTCAACTAGTTACTAGCTATATAACCTAGGGATCGTTTAACCTTCTTTTAGTTTTCTCATACATAAAACAGAGATGATAAAAACAGTACCTGTTTCAAAAGGTGTGGTTATTAAGTTATGTAATATGTATAAGGCACTTAGAACAGTGCCTGGCACAAAGTAAAACCTCAATAAATGAGCTACTATTGATTCCAAAATGCAGTGCTTTTTTCCCAGTTAATAAATTAAAATAATGCTTTACATCTATGTAACCCTTTAAAAGTTTTTCAAAGCACTTTCAAATTTATTAGCACATGAGAACCTCTTCTAATGAGCAGGACAATTATAAACCCTATTTCAATAGATAAGCAAACTGAGGCTTCCAAGGAGTTTAAGTAACATTCCAGGAATCAGCGGAAGAACAAGAACCAGCTTTACAGCCTGGTGACTGGTTTAAAAATTTTGTTGTTTTCTGCCAACACACACGGCACATAGCAAATCCTCCAAATGGGCAACTCTTTCAAGGGCTAGTTTAAAAACCCCTACCTCCCAGGGTTCTCTGCTGTTGCTGCTGAAGCATACTTTTTTTAAAAAAAATCCATAAGCACCAATGCTTTTGACAAGAAAATTTTAGAGAAACTATGAAAGAAAATGGATTACTTTAGCTATTTCTAGAACTATGCTGTCCAATATGGTAACCACTAGCTTACATGTAGTGGCTGACCACCTGAAAAGTGGCCAGTCCCAACTGAGATGAACTGTAATACAAAATACATACCAGGTTTCAAAGATTTTTTTAAAAATAGAAAATACTTCATTATTAATCTTTATGTTCATGAAATTATAATATTTGGGATATACTGAGCTAAATAAAACATACTGTTAAAATTAATTTCACCTCTTTTATTTTACATTTTTAACATGGCTACTAGAAAACTTCAAATACATTCCAATCTAACCTTTTATTTCTATTAGAGCTACTCTAGAACTTGTCTCCCAGCAATTGAAGACAGTATCATGTATAAGAAGTACTGTACATACACTCAAAGCTAAAACTAAGTACTTCAGTGAATATGCCATTACCTTAAGAATCTCAAATTATATTCATATTCAAAAAGATAAATATCTTTCCAAAGTAATCTTTAAGTTTCTCCTAAGATTGAAAAATTTTTAGCCAAAAGTACCTAGAAATGCTTCTATAATCAACTGTTTGCATGTCCCTGGTCTTTATCCCTGTATTAGATATTTTTGGAGAGTCTGCCCACCTCATATGATCTGTCTACTGTCCTCCCCCTCCCTTTCTTCTACCTTCCCACCTACTCCTCAGGGGTGAGCAGAAGTAGACAGGGCTTGTTCAGCCTGACCCCCCACTCCCTGGCCATAGCTGATGGCTCAGAGATAGGCATCTAACAAAAGCTACGCCAGAGTCTTGGGGAATTTGGAATTGAGATGTAAAGACAGGTTCTCCGTATGGCTGGAACTGGCCTGCCATGCTGAGGGTTATAGGAAGCCATCCTCTATCCACTGAGCAGCAGAGATAAACAAAAAGGACAGTCAGGATTCCTGCTGGCCTTGTAATTCTTCGGACCAGTTCTTCCTGAAGCCTAGCTGTGTTTCTCATCTGGGATTCTATGAGACAGCCCTTTCTCTTCATCACATAAGCCCCTCTTTCTGACATATGCTAAATCAAATTGATTTTTGTTAATAACCAAGAGACTTCTATTATAATAAATCACTGTGGTCAGATTTAATAATATACATCAGTAGTTGGCAAGAAGTGAAAACTATGAATTACTCAGTTTATGGGTTACTCGGGCAAAAAATAAAAGTAAAGACGTATAAAATGCAAAAGACTGTAAAGAGTTTTATGAGGCTAATAACTAGACCACATGCATAAAGTCTGTTTCACTGGTGCTTCTACTTTGAGTCAATAACACTCTCTTAAAACCAGTTGGAACCAAGAGCTTCAATTATATACATGTGGCTACAATCTTCAAAAGCTTCGGAATTTGCTTGTTCAACAAACACTGCCTGGGTGCCCAGGACATGCTGGGCTCTGTGAAAGATGCTGCCTCTGCCTCCAGGCTACACAGAGGAATGAAGAATCAGACAGACTATTTGGTGCAGGGGAAGTACGCAGATCAAGCCCAGCCCTGTCCCAACCTACCCTCTTAGCACTCAAGGAAGGCATCCTGGAGGAAGTGACTGTCTGTCCTGAAGGAGGAAGAGAAGGCAGTTGGGCAGACAAAAAGGGACGGCTTTCCAGACACAAGGAATGCGTACGCAAAGGTATGGCAGTCACAGAGAGCCTGGAAGGTTCTGGGAAGCAGAGTTAATCAACACTGGAGAATGATCAATTACAAGCCTGGAAAAATATACCAGATGGCTGTGGTATGGAGTTCAGTTTCTCAACTCATTCTCAACAGAAAGGTATTGAGTGTTCCCCAAACAAAAACAAAAACCAGGTTCTGATTTCTTTTGAATACAATGTTAGCCTGAAAAAAAGAATTAATCCCAACATGTATTAGTGAGGTTGGTTTGGACACCATTTCCTCTAGAAAACCACCTCTGATCACCAAAGACCAGGTAAGAAGCCTGCTTTCTGTCCCAACAGCACCCAATCATGAAACTGAGCACCCGGTAGCAAGACTGCCAATTTATGTCTGTGGCCCCCCTAGACTGTGTGCTCCTTGCTCATCACAGCATTCTCAGCCTGGTACAAATCAGGCACTTAATAAAAATGCACTGAATCAGTGAAAGCCTTTGTCAGACACTTCATTACCAGAGGACAAAATTCCTTCCCCGGCCCTCAAGAAACACTTCACACTCCCCAGATTTCAAGGCAACATCTGCCCCCAAGTTTAAATTTTTATTAAAATATTTTTAAAGACACTTATTTGTTTCTAAATGTAAAATAATATAACTTTTTGAAGCAGGCTGGTTTCTTTGTCACTCAAGGATGAAGAGACAGGAAAAGCTG